AAAAAAGGATTACTAGATTGATGTATGTTTCTTATTACAACCTTTTAAATGAATACTCCAGCTTTTACTGCACCTTCTTGGAGACTTCTAAACACATAAATATAGAGAAAGTCTTCAGCCCTGTTCTTCCTGCCATGTGCCATTCAGTCAGTATCATACAGAAGAACACAGACCTGGTGCTGGAGGACATTGAACAGGAAGAAGTCAAGGAAACAAAGCCGGAGGTGAAGGAAGAGCCACAGCTGGAGAAGAAAGAGGATGTGAAGCCATCCAAAAAGGAGGTGAGCCTGACCTGACCGCATGATTGTAACACACAGTTCTGAGCCACACCAGTGTAATATGCTCACTATGAACATAAGTATTTTAAATCAAATTGTAGTTCTGCCACAGGTAACATGGTACTAACATGGTACTAACCCATGTGGAAGAATGGTATGGTAGCACCCCAGTGGCATTTGGAAGGATAAGTGTTAATACCAGTGCTGGTACTGTGGCCATCTAAATGTTACCACGGTCATTTTTGAATTAACACTTTCAGTGGGAAACTGGTACTACCAGAATAAGTTATTTAGTAAGCACTTTAGGTACTGCAGCACTTCAAATACCACTGTAGTACTGGTTGTACCGTAGTATGTTTTGCAGACCCAGGATACCAGTATTCCAGTACCATGGTAAAAGTGAAATGGCAGGAGAACTGTAAACACTGTGGTAAATAGTGTGATATATGACAGCAGTCCCCAACCTTTTTTGCGCCATGGACCGGTTTATGTCTGACAATGTTTTCAGAATCAGACTCCAGTCTCAGCACTATGGGGAAGGATAAGGTGATACTAACAAAGGCCTTGTGTAAACGTTATCATGGTGCTACCAGAGTTCATTAGGTGACTGATGACTGCTCGAGTGAACAGTTGCTACGTAACTAAAATCATCACTGGTTGCAGACTGGAGATGCAGAATCACAGGTGGATGAGTTGAGTCCACTGATTGACAGCATCAAAAAGGAGGCTGGAGAGGCAGTCCTAGCTCACATGGAGGAAAGGTTAGCCTCAGTCTTTTGTCTCATATGTGCAATAAGGATGATGATGATGATGTCTCTTGGGTGTTTTTGGGGAGCAATTTTAGCAAGATGTCTTTGTTATTTAAGTCACATAAATTCTTCTATCCATGACTATTGATTACTCTTGTTACAGGCTGCAGCAGGAGCGTCTGGAGGCAGCTCGTGTGGCCGAGGAGATGGCCAGAAAGGCAGCGGAGGAGGCAGTCCGCCAGCTCGAGGTGGAGCATTCAGCTAAGATTGTAATAGAAACACTACCAGAGTCCAATGAACAGTAAGTAACATCAATTCAAAACATCACGCATGAGCAGCACCATGGCAAAGTGCTCTAACCTATGAGCTTATTGGGATTTATCAAAAAAGATCCTTTTAGTATCTCAAACATCTGAGCAGTAGTATGATAAACAGAAAACAGTCCAACGTGACCTGAAACCTCGAATTGCTCCTGTTTGCTTTGAACAGGCTGCCCAATATCCTGGAAGAAGAAAACGAGGATGATCCAGAGTAAGTTTCCTTTTGTGAAGCCCAAATAACAATTCTGTGGGTCTTACATGCTGCTTTTGTGCTCCTAGCTTAGGCTGCTGCAGCTTTTATATCACCTGAAAGTGATGGGACAGGTGAGACAATGTTCTTATCTCAAACACAATCCACATAGCACTTTATATTCCAAGTGTTGGGTTGAACAGTGTGTTAAATAACTTACATGCTACTGCTGAACTCCTATCAGCAACATGTACGTTTTCATGAAAAGAGAAATTTCCCAGCTCTCTTTGCTGCCTTTAACAACAGGCTGGTTTCTCTCATCTTTGATTGCACTCAAATCGAAGGATGCCACATTAGCTAGCAACATTAGATAACAATAACTAGAAAAAAATCTTTTTTATCTAATGAATGCTGTCTAGCCAAATTGAAGTGTGGGGAAATGAGGATTATCGTCAGCAGAGCATTTTATTGATGGGGGGTCTTTGATTGAAAGCTGTCAATCTTGGCTAATATAAGCAAACACTAGCTTACTTGTTAGTCTTAAAGATTTGTAAGCTACCTCACACACCTCACTCCCAGGGCTGTTTGTGCAGATAAATTAGGTTTTTCTAAGTTACTTTATCAGCTAACATTAGCTAACATATTTAGCTAATAGTGTTATATTTAGCTAATAACACAGCTAACATATTTCTGTAGATAGCTTACATAGCTAAATTAGCTAGCTAGCTAACCGTAGTGTCCTCAAGTTACTACTTGAGAAAATCGCTGGAATGTAAATGCTTATTGGCTAGTTGGCTACATCTAAGTTAAAAACAACTGCTAACACTAACTAGTACTACATGTAACGTTATACTGTACTGACCTCAGCCAACAGTAAGTCATGTAACAACACAAAGCCAAGGTGTATGGCATCAATGTCACTGTACAGGACATACAGGTCATACAGACCCCTGATGTCGGTCTGTCATTCATAACAGCTGTTTTTATGTCACGCCATCTGTAAGATCCTTCCCTGAACACTGATCTTCCACATCAGTCAGGTTCCGCAAACCAGTCGACTAGTTATTAAATGTCAAAAAAAATAAAACCTTAAAATTCCAACTTCTATATGTTATAATTATGAGAACATCTAAAACAATTAGAAGAGCACGAAATCGTAAAAATACTATACATTCAGGTCCCATTCAAAGAACAGGCTGTTGGAATAGGAAGCGTTATTGTTGGATTCAGCCTGTTTTTCTTTAAATTGATAGAAAATTGATTTGAGATCGCTGCTGTCGCTCTGTGCGACTTGTTTCTGTTCTTGTAGAGTTATGAAATATTTTGTCAACATTTTCCACATAAGGCCTCCAAAGGTTTGCTGTGTGCATATCCATGTGTCCATGGATAACAGTAGTGTAGTTTGTGGACAGTTTCTGCTGGTCTAGCCTTTTTAGTTTAACAGCACGCTTCATCTTCACCTTCGCTGCTCTCTGCTCAGCTCTGTCGCTACCGCCTTTAGCTTCAGAATGGTTGAAAGATGAGCTCAGCTGTCTCAGGTGTCTGACTGGGACTCTCCATCTTATTTAACATTTGCTGCACGCTGTTCAGGTTACAAAACCTGCAGGAGGACAGTGAAGACAGCACAGAGAATCAGAGTCCTGAGGAAAATAAAGTGACAGAGGAAGATAAAATCAAGACCACTGTTGAGGAAGAGACTAAATCTGATCAGTAAGTTTGGTCATAGAATTTGGTCTGCTTGTAGAGTAAGAAACTAAAAGATACTCAAATAGTTTGCACACACAAGCGTGCACTAAGAGGCTGATGTGCCTGCTGGCATTATCAGATTTATGAAGCTTTAAACCTTTTACATCTTTTTAGAGCAAACTGAAGTCCTGCCCTGTTCCTGGCTGGTATCTCTTTTTTTTAACAGAAGGTGTTTGTTCGAACTTGACTCGCTCCACTAGGAGCTGAAATCAGTTTTGTCACTTGGAGAACATCCTGAAGGATAAAACCAGAGGGCCGCGCAGTCAGTTCTCCCATAGCTTTTTCCTCAAACTTTGTTCACAGCTCGTTTACTTTTCCATAGCACTAATGTTGCCTGGGTACTAAAGAGTCCAATGTATTTGCAGGAGTTGGTTGGCCAAATAAAACACTACCCGGTTTTATTTGGCTCCTTTCTAGCGCCAATGAATAAGACCTAACGAGAAATGGTCATTTCAAATCTTCAAGTTGTCATTCGGTTGTTAAACTAAACTTTCAGCACCTTGAGGTAACTGGTGTTGTGATTTGGTGCTACAGAAATAAAATTGAATTGAATTAAACTGTATACCCAAGATGAATGTTAGAGACTTTTTTAAAAATTTGCCATGTAGTTAAAACAAAATCCAGCCCTTCCTATGATGGGTCACTGATGACGTCCAGCCTACACATTGTTGAATTTCCTACATGTGTTTTGGCCATACAGTGCTTCTGTGAAAACATTTTAAATGTGTCGCATCAGTGACACCTGTACATAAATGCATATTTATAAAAAGTTCAAACCTAATGTGCACCAGCGTAGCCAGCTGTCATAACAGCTCGGCCCCAAAAAGCACAGCAGGCCAGACTTTGAACAACACAACCTCACACCACAGATTTAACCTAAGAAGAATCAGCTGATTCCTGTTGTTAACGGTGAATGTCAGACACAGCCAGCTGAAGTAGCTCAGTTGGGAGAGCGTTACACCGAAGATCTAAAGGTCCCTGGTTCAATCCTGGGGTTTGGTAAGCAGACAATGGGCAAGCTTTTGGCAGCTGAATAGTGTAGTGGTAAGTTTGATTCCTTCCAAGTATCCAGTAAGGGTCCTGGCTAGGTCCAAAGGAATGCCCTGGAATGGTGTGGCTACGTCTGCAGCTCGGACGCAACACATTTCACTGCATGTTGTACTTGTTTCGTTGCGCTGACAAAGGCCTGACTTCAGCAAACTGGCATGATGGGTTCACGTGGAGTCTCCTGGTAAAGCTCTCTTTGGTCTCCAACAACTAACTTTCTGTCGTTAGATGTTTCCTTTGTTGTATGTATAGAGGGGCTTTCAGAGTTTATGGTTATCCAGAAATCAGGGCAGGACTTTGGTTCAAATAGTTTTTATGCCCAGACGTTTACTATGCACTACTTCTGTAGAAGTTGCTTCTTTCAGTTTTTCCAGTGATTACATTTACCTTTATTTTCTGCTGCGTCTTGCCTACTTTTCTTCTGTGAATCAGGGCAGATCTCAAAAGGTAGGTTGGATTTTTTTATAGGCGGTATAACCACACAGAATAAAGCAGTTCTGTTTTTGTCAGCCAGCTACTGTGTTTCACCTGCTTCTGGTGGCTTCATTATGGTTAACTATAGTTGAAGATTCAGTCCAAGATACAGCCAAGAGGGCACATTTTGCTTTGTATAATCGATTACCTTGATTACTTAGAACAAAAAAAATACTAACAGGCCCAGACACGGCCCAGTGTTGTCTTCTTTAGCAATGTTGCTTGAACAGGGCAGGTATTGTAATCGATTATATTGATGTTCTCAAATATTGTTGACAGCATCCTGTTATTTCTAATATAACCGCCAACAATTAACAAAATAAACCAAACTAAACTGGCTCACCATTTCTAGAAAGAATTTGATGTGTTTAAATGTGATTTGTGTCCTCTGTACACACTTACCCATAATAACAACGTTATCCAGTGAACGGCAAAAATGAGAAAAGATCTCACCTCAGATATTTGCCCCATGGGGTTCAGGGTACAACCTTATGTCTGAATGTTTGACCAGTTGCAAACATTTTGTCTCATAATTTAGAAAAACAGGACCCAAGAGTACAAATGTCAGTATTTCCCTATCAGATCCTTCCACAGTAGATTATACCTCAAACAGAAGCCACTTACATTGCAATTGTAAGTTTTCCTGTGCCCACGTGCTTCTCATAGGAAACTCACTGAGATATTCACCTCACACTGTAAACTCTGACATGAACGTTGCTGTGAATTGTTGCTTGTCAGTGCAGATGATGTCAGTGGAAGGATCAGCTCTGCAGCTTTTGTGGAGGTCTGGTTCGCTCTTCTATGATGTTAATGATGGCTGCTCCTCTTCACCAGGTGCATGGTAGACGTCTGCCCAGCTGAAGATGAAATCAAAGCAACAACTCAAGTGGAAAAGGTGGAGCCTGCTCCAGACGAAACCCACAAGCCCCCAACTCCACCCACTGAATCTGAAGCACCAGAGGAAGCCACACCTTCAACAGATGCAGAACCAGTCTCCCAACAACCTGAGCCACTGCCTCCAGAAACTCCACCCACTACCACCGATCAGGTGATGGTCTCCTGGATTCTGCTTCAGTAGATGGTAGTTTGATCCAAGCAGAAGAGTTCGAGTATGTTGACAGGTGAGCGGTAGATTGACAGAAGGGCTGTTTGATCTAGTTTCCTACCCTCACCTTTGGTCATGAGTAGGGATGGGTATCTTTAGGTTTTATCCGATACCGAGTGCCAAACCGGTACTTTTGAAACGGTGCCGGTGCTAACGTGTTAAAGAATGGAGAACACAAAATTGGTCCAAAAACCTCTCATGTTCAGCTGTGTTTTTTGTAAAAAGATAACAATGTTAGCCTTTTCTGCAGCTATGGGGCATATATGGTATCACTCTTGGCTGGAAGCAGTGCTTAAACAATGGAAAAAACACAAACTTTGTCCAAAAACCTCTCATGTTTAGCTGTTTCCCACTTTTTCTTTGGTCATTTTAGCCTTTTTGGCCAGGGTGAAGGGAGTATCTGCCATCAAACAAGAAGACAGCCGCATGTAAGCTATGACGGTGTTTGCTAGTTCACCTTACATGCATTAATGTAATAACGTGGTTAGCCTACTCAACGTAAATTACACACGAACAACATTAAGCTACTCACGCAGAGAAGAACGGCTGCTGCTGCATCATCATCCTCATCATTTCTGCTACACTGGCAGGGCTAGGGGCCAGGACTCTCCTCTTCGGGTTTTTGGGGGATGTTGCTAACTCCGGGTCCGATAACAGGCAACCCACCCGCAGTAGATGTGCTCGGTGTGAGGTCTCGCAGCAAGCTATCAAATACGGCGCATTTCTCGGCTTTTAAAAAAACCGCTATGCGTCGCCAGGTGTTTCATCAGATTGAGGTGTTACCTCCTTTGACAGTATCACAGTATCAGCTTAAAGCACTTGTTGCGTGCTGAGTTTGCATATTTTGCTGTGAAGTACAGCCAGACTTTTGACCGCTTCGCCTTGGGCATTTTTAATCTGACTCTTAAAGAACGTACGTACCTGGCCCCGCCTACTATCCTTGGAAAGTAAAATGATTGGCTAGATCCAAAGTGTTAACATCTCATAAAAAAAAAGGCACCGAAATAAAGCACAGAAATGTGCGCTGCTTTTTGGTCTGGTTACTACCGTTTATGTCAGAACCGGTGCCATCATGGCACCGGATACCGGTACACATCCCTAGCCATGAGGTAGTGACCCAAAGAATGAGATTGAGGAGAGGACACATCCTGTGGGAAAGAGCTTCTCCTGAAGGGACTCTGGACTCTCCTTTAGAGGAAGGGGAGGAACTCATTTAGAGTAGAGCCATCACTCCTACACACTGAAAAGGAGCCACCTGCAGTGGTTCATCATTTGCCCAGGATGTCTCCTGCACGCCTGCTGCATGTCGAACCAGGAGGAGACCCCATGTGAGGTCGAACCAACACAAGCTGGAGAGATTGTCTCTCGACTGGTTGGGAATGAATCGGTGTCCCTCCATGAGCTTGAAGGTGGAAGAGCACAGAGGGAGGTGTAGCTGAGAACCTGAGGAATGTAAGGAGGAATGTACAAAAGACCGAGTCAAAGTGGCTCTGAATCTTTGTGGCTTCTTTCCCAGAGAGCAAAAGGAAGAACCTGGTGAAAGTCAAAGAGACAATCTAGGAACTTGAAGAACTTATTATTGGAGGACACATTAGAAAAAGTTCTGGACTTGAAAGATCTGCTGACCTGGTGCCAGATACCACTGGCACTGTTATTTATTGGTCTTAATTTTTTTGGTATGTTCTCACTTCCTAAACCAGCACTCTACAACCTGAATTATACGTGCTTCGAAGAGTTAATCTCTGATTAATTTCTTCTGATTATCCCAGATATTTCACCTAAAATGTCAGAAAGGAGTTCCAGCTGCTTGACTTTGTCCTGAGCTTTCAGTGTATTGAGTGGTCTCCATCAGAGGACCGAGCTGGCTAAGCTGTCGTGGAGATCAGTCTGTTGGTGTTAAAGGTCATTAGCTCGTGTGGACGTCGGTGATAAATCCAATTCCTGTGGTTCCTTGGAAACAGTTGGAAAAGAGCATCTCTACTTGAGAATCACTCACTGGCTTTCTAAGGAAATTTCAACCATGTCATGTTCCTGTGACTGCAGGGCGGATTGACAGTTATATCTTGTTTTTAATAATTGTTTTCTTCTTAATTCTCAGACCAGCACAGCAGAAGAAGGTGGATGTGGAGGTGAGACTGCAAAATCAGGTTTTATCTGTTCGGTCTTCTTGTTTCTCTTGTTCCGACTGCTCTCTTCATGGATTTCTTTGCCCTTCATTACCTTCACTGGTCCGGTTTTAGGAGCCTAACGCTAACCCTTCTCACTGCTGTTTCTCTGTCTAGTTCCTGACATTTGCTCTCCGATAAAGAGCTTTCTGCTTCGATTCCCTCATGCTGCCGAGTGCCTGGAGAGCTGCACAAAGCTGATGCGTAACCGTAACCTCACCCCTCCCACGCTGTCCGTGCCGGCACCACCGCCAGAGCTCGCCCAGCTGACCCAGGAGCTGTTGCAGCTCACCAAGCAGGCGCAGCAGTGCTGTATGAGCATCTACAGCCGCTTCAGGGGCCTTAACTCCAAGTCCCAGGATCCTTAGCAGCCGTAACCCCCACCCCCCTCCAGCAGACTCCTAGAGACACCTTATAGATTATAGACTAGATAATCTGTGTAGATCGAAACCTTTGAAGTGCCAAACCAAACAAACACACTTCCAGTGCCTCCGAACGTTCCATTTCCCCCTCATCCTCACTCCCATCATGCTCTGCAGCTCCGCTGTGCTTCACCATCAGCTGCCAGCTAAGCGCGCCACAGGTAATCAGGAGGAGGTGGATGTCTGAGCTGCTGTAGGCTGTGTGCTTGTCCCTTTGCTGTTTTTAATGAGTCGTTTAGAGCTGAATCACCAACAAAACTGGGCAACAGTTTACCTCATGATAGTCTGTGCTATGGGATTTGTTACTGAAGAGTTCTTTATCTGCCACGTTGTTGCCCCTGGTGATGGATTTTCACGAAGCAGCGTGATGCAGATTTCCTGTCGAGGCCGAAATATTTAAGCAAGCATGAATCAGTTTTTGCTCCATTTATGTGGACACAGGAAATCAAAACTGGACTTCAGTCCTGTGATTCTCATTTAAGACTGAAGAGAAACTCTGTGACTTTACCTGCATCATATTTTCTGTGACCTGTTAGAATAAGAGAGGCCATTTATCGAGCTGGTAACATTAAATGCAGGGGGGCTTCTGTGGATTTGGGGTTATTTCCAGACAGTTTTACATATTTAATGCTGAATAACTCTTGTAAACACCACACATCTGTAAACTGGAGAACACACGTGGCCCGTAAACGTATAAAAATTAATATATTTATTTAAATACACATTTTTCTTACCATAAAACCTCATCAGTTCTTTTTGTTTTTTTCTCTGGATGTGTCCAGAGGCAACAATCAGCATTTTATCATCTACAAATAAATGAAAGCAGAAGTTTAAAGTTGCGCTGGTGCTTTGGAAACAGCAGTTTAACACGTCGACCTGAAATGCGGTTCAGTTGAGGGCGAGTTTATTCGTGTAGGAAGACGTCGCCTGAGGTCCAACTGCATTTATTTTCTGGTCCTCAGAAAACTGCAGTAAACGTTTGGCTGAAGCTTCAGAGCTGAAGGTGGAGGCGATGGATGTGATGGAAGGGAAAGGTCTGAACATCCCCCAGATTATCACCACCCCAGAACCAGAACCGAACAATCTCACAGCCCCAGAGCTCAGGTAACACACGACGTGTATGCTGCTGCTCACGGCCTTCAGGGGGCGCTGTTACCACGCTAAGACATGTAAATGTATGAAAGCATCCATGTTTAATGTCTGTGTTATCCTGTCTTCATGTCCAACTCTGCATCCTTTCATGGTTGTTCTTGTCCTGCTAAAAGTTGCTGAGCGAAACATCTAACAGCTCCAAATATGACTAAAAACACAACGCTGAGTTAAAATCAATGTAAATGGTTTCCTTAAATCTTTCTTTAGCTCCATCCTTTCTGAAACTGTTTGAACTGATTCATATCTCCATGTTCAGAGGCCTGCACACCAAAGGAAGTTTGACATACCCATGTTATCACTGTCAGGGTCAGAGGTCACCTGAAGGTGGTCTTCAGCTCCATAAGTTAACCCAGTTAACCTTCGGCACACAAACATCCAAGGAATTTTACAGGAATGGAGACGTGCTTTTCCAGAGATCCGATTGGCCAGTAGGTGGTATTTTTGTATCTGCTGATCTCAAAGATAACCAGAAATCTTCAGATATCAATGAAATTCCTCGACGTGTAGCAACAAGAGACGGAATAAACACGCAGTGGGCGGGTCCTAAGTCAATATTCTCGCAACTTTAATGAAAGCAGGCACCAATGGGAGCAAAGAATATTTGTAACTGACCAGTAGTGACAAACACTGCTGGTCAATACACACTACAATATACACAACTTTGTCAGTATTGACAAGCAGAGCAATGCGCGGTTGCTCTGCTTGAAGGGTCTTCATCCCAAATCTTCCTGTGCAGTATCGGCCTCCGATGGTCTTTGAGGTAAGTCGTATGTTCAGATGACGTCTCGGTGGAGTAAAAATAAAACAGAGCTACACAAAGCCAAAATCTTTAAAGCAGTTTTTAACCCAAAGAATTAAATTAGAATCACTTTTCACAGTGGTTCAGTCTAAATATCAGGAGAGCAAATCAATATGCTTTCAGATGTGTGGCCACAACTGAAGATTAGCTTCAGAGACTCTGACAGTGTAAATGTAGGTGAGTACAGAGCTCGAATAAAAGCTTTGTGAATCTGAAACTGTGTTTGAAACCATTAATGACGCTGACTTGTTAATCTGGTCGATATTAGAAGCTGGTCTCGCCGCTCAGCAGCCGTGTGAGTAACGTCTTGGGTGGTTATTGGGGCAGTTATTCTAAGGCTACTATCTGAATGAGTCAGTGGAGAGTCTTGACTTTATCGTCATTGATCACTGAGACCAGTTAACAACAGTTTAAAGAGCTTTTTTCTGTTAGACAACCATCAGTTGATTCAGGGGCCAATGCGATGTTCTGTTGTACCACGATAAACACATCTTTAAGATTGTCTGTCTCCACAGACGGTATGTGAGCATCATATGGACACCTGCGCTTTTGGTGAATTTCTCTCACTATAGTACAATAGTACTGTGCCCTCAAAGCAGCCATATTATTGGTCACATGATGTCCCATTTAATCCCACTGGCAACAATTGTTGCCGTTTTAACCCTCTATGACACAAAAATTAAACATATTGTGTGTAGGGGAAGTCTAAGGAGTATAATTATTTTGCAAAAGGCTCCAACAGCACAAACACGGTGCAGAGGTCCAGTTCAGGGTTCACCATCCCCCTCTGTCACAGAGGCCACGCCCACTAATATTGCAAATTTTAATCCCGATTGGCTCTCTAGAGAAAGAGCAGACAAATTTCTGTCCAGGACTCCCGTCTGGTCCCTGTCTGATGAAGATAAAAGCAAGTCTGAAGTCTGTGTTTGAACTCACAAGAGCTTCGGGTTCTCTGTGGGCCTTGAAACACCAACCGTCTCCTGGAAATGTTGAAAATGATTCACAGTTTCTGGGTTTGAGCTTTCTTGATTTGACTGAGCTCTCTTCAATAATAATGGATTGGATTTATATAGCGCTTTTCAAGGCACCCAAAGCGCTTTACAATACCACTATTCATTCACTCTGACATTCACACACTGGTGGAGGCAGCTACAGTTGTAGCCACAGCTGCCCTGGGGCAGATTGACAGAAGTGAGGGTGCCATATCGTGCCATCAGCCCCTCTGGCCAACACCAGTAGGCGGTAGGTGAAGTGTCTTGCCCAAGGACACAACGACCGAGACCGTCCAAGCCGGGGCTCGAACCGGCAACCTTCCAATTACAGATGCTAGTCCCAACCCCCTGAGCCACGTATTGTGATTGGTGCTGTTGTTGATTTGTTGAGCTCACTAACGTTTTAGAGGCCTTTTTTATCGTGCTGTGTTCTGGATGGAGGGACTTCCTTTAACCTCAGTAAGAGCATCAGTCTCTGACAGCTTTAATGTGTTCTGCCATTCTGAATCTGGACTAAATGCAGGCTGGAACATCTTATTGTTTCCTCTCCACGTGTCCGTGTTGATGTCTGTAGTGTTGCAGGTGATGTGTCTGCAGACGAGGACGATCCCGAGCTGCTGAGGATCGGTTTGAAAGTCTGGACCACTCAGGGAGACCACCTGTCTGCAGACGACGAGTGAGAGAAACCCCACAGACTCACAGTGAGCTCCCTGCTTCCATCTGTCTGTCCACCATGTTTACCTTCCCATTCTTACTCCTGCAGGACACGTCCGCTGTCGGCGACCAGCGTCGGCAGCGTGGTGGTCCAGGACCGCCTCAACGAGCTCGTCAGGCTGTTCAAAGGTCGGACAGAGCGGCAGAAAGAACGGCTGATCGACCCGGATGAATCGGAGGAAGAAAGTCCCGCAGCCTGTACGTAGAAACCGGTTTCACGAGTCAGGTCGAGTCAGAAGCTTTGATAAGATAGAACCAAATCCTGCATCAAAACGCCGCTGCAGTGGTTTGCTCAGTGATTGTATGAGTTTAACAATATCCGTGCATGAAGGATTTGAATAAATGATGAGATTAAACAGTTTGCATTAAATACTGAATGATTTTCAGCTGCATCAGTGTAAAACCATCAAAATGACGTTCTCGCACTTCCTGTCTGATCCCTACAGCTCCAAGCAAAGCTCCGCCTCCCCCTCCTCCCCCGCCTCCCCCGGGAGAGGAGAAGAAAGACACAGCAGCAGGAGGAGGAGAAGAAGAAAAGGAGGAGGAAAAGGAGTTTAAATTTGAGCTTCTGGGATATGAGGTCAAAATTCCCAATCTGCCCAAACTTCCCCCGATGCCTGGCTGGCTCCGAGCCATCCTGGAGTTCCGCTTCCCCTCGAGCATCGACCCGTTCACCGGTGAGAAATCGAGTTCTCCATCACCACACTTTTCAGGACAGCCATATTCACCCACTGCTTCAGCTTCTGGAGTTGGGTGGAGATGAGTTTCAGGGGTAATTTGTGACAGAAGGGAAGGGGAGGTTTACAGGATGGCAGTGAGACCTGCTGTGATTCGTTGGCACAGACACAAACATGGGAAGCCGAGCTGAAGATGTTCAGATGTTTATTGGGAGCGAGCGTCCATCGGGGCTCTGACAGCTCAGAGAGGCTCAGATGGTTTCGACATGTGCAGAGGAGGGAGAGTGGAGGATGAAGACGGAGCTGCCAGGAAGACCTCAGTGGAGGTTCATGGATGTAGTGAAGGAGGACTGCAGGGGGTTGGTGTGACAGAGCTGGTGTGGTGACCCCTAAAGGGAGGAGCCAAGAGACAAAGAAGTAGATTGTTTCCCCGTTGAACGGCAGTGCGCACCTTGCTTTGGTGTCCTTTCAGCTTGTCGTGCACCTCTGGATCTTCAAACTCTGGCCAAGCAGGTGCAGCTCGGTCTTTAACATCTTTTCAGAGATAGATCAGTGAGGAGCTCAGAGGGTCCCAGACGAGTGAGAGGGCGATGCTGCAGCAGCATCAGGGCACCTTCTGGAGCAAAGTGTAAAACACAAGCTGTGCAGTCTCTCATGTATCCTGTGGAGGAGACACCTCAGAAGGTGCAGAGAGGCCAGAACACCATAAGTGCCTGTATCAGGGGTCACAGGGATCTGATGATGTCACACTTGACGCACTGACCATAAGGTTTTAAGGTTGGATCGAAACTTGATTGAACTTGATTCTTATTTGTGGGACGTGTACGAAGTCAGAGGAAGTGAAATCTGGTGAGCAAAGGTCACGCTGGTGGCGAAAGCGTTTCTGAGCTGGTTTGAGATGAAACATGAGGTCAGGTGAGGTCATCCCCCCGGGTCAGACTGTCACTGGGGGGGACGAATTTACGATACGGTACACAAAGATCAGGTTCTTGGTTATCTGAAGTTCAGGTCACCACTAACAGGTGGCGCTGCAGTAAGAACATGACGTTAAATGATAGTCAGCTCTCTGCTACCAGGGTTTTTTTATGCGTTCTTCTTTTTCCGTCATGTACGGAGGTCAGAGAGACGTTTGACTGTGGATTTCTGCCCCATAGACCTGATCTACGTCATCTGGCTGTTCTTCGTGGTGGCGGCGTGGAACTGGAACGTATGGCTGATCCCCGTCCGCTGGGCGTTTCCTTACCAAACCCCCGAAAACATCCACCTGTGGCTGCTGGCCGACTACACCTTCGACCTCATCTACATCATTGATATCCTCGTCTTCCAGCCCAGGTTGCAGTTCGTCCGTGGAGGAGACATCGTGGTCAGCAGAAATGAAACGATAAATAAAACTTTGATTTTATCTCATAAACTTTCACAAACACCTTTGATCTGGAACTTCTTTTCCACAGTGCGACAAGAAGGACATGAGGGAGCACTACATGACCACAGAGAGATTTAAGGTGAGAACTTTGGGCCAGGGCCACCTGGTGGATGGTGAAGGTACTGCAAGCGGGCCACAGGAAGTTAGAAAATACAATGAATACTTTAAAAAAATTATGTTTTAATTGAGTTTACATTTTACTATTCCCTTTTTAAAAAACAAATCAAATCACTTAAAATAACAAACGTTATTCTCCCTTTGTGACCTTTTCTCAACTTTCAGTGGGATTTCCCCCAGATATGACACCACATACCAAATCTGAAATACTTTCATTAAATAGAGTGAACTCTCTTTTTTTTTCAAATAGCAGGAAAAACTAAAATGATGAGATCAAAAATAATAATAAAGAAACTGTCACTAAAGCTTCGGCTGGGATAGAAAAGATTTTCATATTTCTAAAACTGCTGCATTCATCTGAAGTTTAGGATCTGCTGTTGTATATAAAAACCATAACTCTCTGTGGAAGCCTGCATTCTCTCTAACGTCCAGCAGGGGGCGAATGTAAAGTCTGACCTCAGTAAACACAGTTTATAGTCTCAGTCTCTAGTTTTAAATATTAGTACATTAAAGTTGATCTTTATTTTGTGAATCGTGGTCACATTACAGGGGAAAAGTGATAAAGCACATTTATGAGGTCTGGCTTCAAAAATCTAAGATGCCAATGGACAAGTCTTAAAAACAGGACCAGTGGGTTTATAAGATGTATAAATATAAACCGGTTTATAAAATCTGGCCTCTAGTGATGGCTGATGTATCTGGTAATGGTCATAATGTGGATGCTAAAATATGTGTACGCTGCTGGAAAAAAGATGTTATAATCCTATAGATTCATGAATCCTAACAAAACAAACGAGTCTGCATCTTTGATATTTTTGCGTCTTTACATTGTGCACACAGTTTTTTAAACTCAGCACAACCTCAGCTGTCTTTATATTCAGGTTTGAATATAAAGTACGGATTGATTCAGATCTCTAGAACTTCTTTAACCCTTTGGTTTCCCCCTGGTGAGTGTTTGCTGTGTGCTTTGCAGATGGACATCATCAGCCTGTTTCCTTTGGAGGTATTTTACTACTTCACTGGAGTCAACTCTCTGCTGAGGTTCCCTCGCCTGCTGAAGGTCAGAAGGTTTTTCTGCTTTGTTCACAGCTGATCTTTGTGGTCGGGATGAACAGCTGACCTCTGTTTTCCTCTCTCAGTACATGGTTTTCTCTGAGTTCAACGACAGAATGGAATCTGTGATGAAGAAAGCGTACATCTATAGGTGAGAAGGTCTCCAGCCTCACTCTCCACTGTTTGTCCTGGACATAACATCACTCAGGATCACTGTTCAGGTTGGAGGTGTGAAGGTGAAAATGTAAAGAAAATGTTTTAAAGACCTCATTACCGGACAGTGTTGGTCAAGTTACTTGAAAAAAGTAATCAGTAACTAATTACTGATTACTTCCCCCAAAAAGTAATCCCGTTACTTTACTGATTACTTATTTTCAAAAGTAATTAATTACTTAGTTACTTTTTAAAAACACGATTTACAACCTGAAATGGTGATAAAGCGATAGATCTTTCAGCCCAATTCTACTTTTTCTGCATAATCATCATATCAAAATGTCTCTTTTTTAAACTTGTTTTATTAGTTTTAATCTTTTAACTTTATGCATCAAGCAAAAATTTAATTATATGCAACATTCTCTGACTGGAAGAAATTAGTTTAACATTTAAACCTATTTTCTGCACATTCCAGCACATAAAATAAAATATTTTGTGTGTTTACTCATCTTTCAAATAGATGCAAGTAAAACACAGCAGAAAATAAATAAATCAAAGACTCAGCGGTCCTGTTGCTCTATTTTCACCTGTAAAGCAGGACTGCGGTAGGCGGAGATTTACCCTGGTGCAGGTGTGCCGCAGCGGTCAGTTGAAGAATCTGGGGGGTGATTGTGGCTCAAGAGTTGGGTGTTCGTCTTGTAATCGGAGGTTGTCAGTTCGAGCCCCGGCTCAAACAGTCTCGGTCGTTGTGTCCTTGGGCAAGACACTTCACCTACCGCCTACTGGTGTTGCCAGAGGGGCCGATGGCGCGATATGGCACCCTCGCCTCTGTCAGTCTGCCCCAGGGGCGTCCCAATATAAATGCAATCCATTATTATTATTATTATTAATCCGTGAGTTTCCCATTACGTCGTAGCTACTCGGTGCTTGTTGGAAGTCTAGGGGGTTTTTTTCGCTGTAAAAAGAAGTTTTCTTCCCACGCACAGCGGACACTCATGTTTTTGTCACTTTTTATGGAATCAAACTCAAAGTAAGGTCAGTACTTCCACGCTTTAAACGCTGCAGCTC